CAAGGAGTCTGGACGAACGCAGCAGTACAACATGGGAGCGCCATTTAAGAGAATCAACAGTTGTTTCGACCTACTTGGCTGCTTTCAAGAGTCTTAGTTATTTGTGTGTTGTTGTTGTTTTTTATTTATATTATTGTTGAAAAATTCTAGGACTAATTGTATTGTAAATAATTGTATGATGTTTACGTTAATTTCAATTTTCTTTTTGTTATGTTTAATGTTATTGAAGTGATCGTACGAATTTCCATAATTGCAACCGAAGCTAACAACCTTTTGTTCGCGATATTATTTTAAAACCGCAAACATCGACATTAAACAAATAGAATAAAATCTGTTGTCTACGCAATATTCGTAGTGAGTAAAATTAGAACAGTTAAATATGAGTATTTAATTATCGTAGGCTAAGAAGTCAAATAGAATGACTGTAGTTTTGCTCAAAATGTTAAAAGGTATCTCGAATTTGGTGTTGTTTTTAAATTATTTATTTATTTATAAACATCTATTTCATCCCCTTCAAAGTAATCCCCACCAGATACTATACAATTGTGCCAACGTTTATTTCAATCTTCGAAGCAGTTCAAAAAATCATTTTTTGTGATCTTGTCCGGCTCCTCCTTCGATGGCGTCTTCATCTCCTCAATCGTAGCGTAGCGTCGTCCTTTCATGGTCCTCTTCAAAAAAAGGTCACAGGCGGCCAGATCTGGCGAATATGGTGGCTGCTGCATTGTTAGTCTGAATGCTTTTGACCAAAAATTCGCACACAAGCAACAAGGTGTGATCAGGGGCGTTATCATGGTGCAAACGCCAATTTTTGTTCTTCCACAAAATCGGGTGTTTCTGGCTAATTGCTTCGCGCAAGTTACGCATAACTTGCAGGTTATATTTCTTATTGACCGTTCTACTATGTGGCAAAGCCTCATGATGCACTACGCCTTTGAAATCGAACAAAACTTGGCGCGCTTTTTTCGGTCTTGGCTCGTGCGGCAACTTCCATTGGAATGGTTGAGCTTTGGTTTCCACGTCATAACCATAATACCATGTTTCGTCACCAGTTATGTCGCTCTGTAGCATATTTTAGTGTGATGCTATTTTTGGAAGAAATTTAGCAATTTTATAGTAAAAATCATTTTAGTTCCTAATTAGTTAATGAGAACAAGACTCTTTAACTGTGTGACTGTACTATAAGTTAAGGAAACTTATTGTCATATTTCACTCTTTCATAATAAAACAAAACATGATTATAATAAAATTATCTCTTTTCTGAAAAAATAGCAAATACCCTGGTAATCGGTATGCCCGGGTATATGAAAAAATAATACCCGATACCCGGGTATTAAGAAAAGTCTGGTACGCAAAAACCATAACTGTAAGTAGGTACTAGTAATTTTACCTAGGTACTCCAAATCCATTTTCGAATTGCAATAGAAGGCAATGCTTCTGATTAAATGACGGACATGATAGAACAAAACAACGAAGAACTGACACGGAAGACGATCCTTGTGGGGAGGACAGTAGTACAACCTAGTTTGTCGACGATTCCAATCAGAGTAATAAATTTGAAAGGTTTCGAACAAAAGTTAACAAAAGGGACAGAAATAGGCACATTAGCAACAGCATTCACCATAAACCATTTGGGCCAAATCCAAGAGTAGACGGAGAGAAGCACGAAGTTACCGGAAGTGTTACAACGGCTAGTAAAAAAATTAAATAAATCACCTTACTACAAAAGAATCCTGAATGCTAGAAGGTCATATTCAAACGTTTCAGAACGTTCTTGCGCTCGATGAATCCGACTATGACAGGACAAACCTGACGTACCACCGGATCCAAGAGAAGCAAGATCTATAAAGGAGCTGTTTAGGCAAGTACCACAAGAGAAAATCGATTTATTGATCAACGACATGTGTGAGAGGGATATAATAGAAGTCTTAAGGACAACTATTCTTTGTCACAGATTGACTACACCTAGACTACCCTTCGGGAGAAATGAAATGGTTATATACGTTAGACATAAAATGCGGATATTGGCAGGTTGAAGTATACCTTGAAGTTAAAGAAAAGACCGCGTTAACAGCAGGAAAGGGTCCGTTCGATCTGTGCAACGCACCCGCTACGTTTTAAAAACTAATGGAGACCATTTTGCAAGGACTACACTGGGAAATCTAGCTCGCCCCTTCCATATACTGTCCGAAAATGGAGTGCCGTTTAAGTGGATGAACATCTGCCAAAATGATTTCCAAGCTGTGAACAGTAAGGTAATACTCCAATTTTGTCGTATTCCGAATTTTAGGTATTCTCTCCTAAGTTCAAGATGGAAAAGAAAAAGTAATCGGACATTTTAGTAAGACGCTGTCAAAGCCCAAAAAGAATTATTATGTTACCCGACGAAAATTACTGGCTGTCGTGAAAACTGTATAACATTTCCCCAAACTATACAGGCATCAATTCCTATTGAAAATCGATCAGTCCTCCCTTAAATGGCTGCTACAGATTAAAACCCTGGAAGTACGGTTAACGAGATGGCAGCAGCGTTTACAGCAGTACAACTTCAAAATTGTGCATCGACCAAGAAAGCACCATGGAAATACTGACGTCCTCTCAAGGCGACCGTGTCCCTAGTTTTGTATTTGTGGGTTAACACTGGTATTGAATAACACAAATGTGTGATCTGAACACAATTGTTTATTTATAATTTGAGAGATACAATGTTGACTCGAGTTTGATTGGACAAAGACTGACTATTCGCGATTCACTCAGCCAGATGGCTCTGTTGCCAACTTGCAACCTTAAGATCAACACAACACCTAGAACAGTAGGTATTGTCCTTCCATAAAACGGAATGAAGGATTGCAACAAGTTCCATGCCTACGCACCACAGCGAGGCAAGACGATTAGGAAGACACGATGCTGATGGAGGAACAGTGAACCGATGAAGATCTGGGACCAATCATGAAACGAAAGTAAGCATGGAAGTTCCTTGAGTGCTACAACAATATGTTATTGGGCTCAATAAGATTCTTTAAGCCTCGACAATTTGGTCATTAAGAGAATTGAGGAAAGTCCGGAGTGGAATAAAAGGAGGCTCCAAATTGTACTGCCCAAGAAGACAGGAGATTTGATAAAAGAACTGTACGCGAACAAATTTCCATACTTTGGCTTGATGACCAACTTCGTTTTCAAGATTTTCAGCGTTACTTCACCACATGCATAACAGAATTATTCCGTTTGTTCTCATAGAATCACAACTAAGTACATCCTTTATACGTTATCGTTTATACCATAACGAATAATTTAATTCTATTAATATACTTAACCGTTTATTTACTTATAACTACTACTATAACTAACTGTCACTGCTCAATTTTACTATGGACTCTATCTTTCGCAGCTTCCCTTTATATATGCCTATTGAGGTTTCTCCAGTATTTCCCGAAAATCCAGAAAGCTCTCAATTTATTTCGAATGTTCTTATAATGTTAAGGCTTAATTGCATATGTGTAAAGCATATCGAGACCTTTTCGATAATCCGGATTATATGGTGAACAGCTTGTGATGCACAACTCACTGTATCCTCGTGTAATTCGGGACATTCTCGGACCGTCATAACGCATCATAGCGCTGAAGAAAACGTGCTTTAAGTTAAGTGGAAAAACATGTTCTTTCTACAGTATAGGAAGTCTGCAACATACTTTTTATGTATTATGGTTTGCACATGTGCTAAAAAGGCTGCAATGTTTCCGATTTTTCACTAATTCGGATCACCTAGGTTTTGATTGATCCAGGTAAGCGAAGCTTTGCTGTACTTGAGTTACAAAAATTTATACTGTAATTATTATCACTACGAGGACCGATAGTTCACATTAAATAATCATCAAATAAATATCAATTGATACACGATTGTTTCAGTCAAATACATTTTCTTTGAATTGGGTAACTTTTTATTCGACATACTTCTATTCATTGAAATAATAATAAAAAAAAGAATCAATTACTGTTTCTCTCACACTCAAGTAAATAATTTCTTGGAAGGACTTAAGGTAGATATTTATTTATTTAAATTAAGTTTTTTCTTTTTTAAAAAAATATTCTTTTCTCATTGTAAAGATATCTAAACTTTCTCATCAACTGATTTTTTTATATATCAATCTTTGTCAATTTAGATATTTCTTTATCTATAAAACCAGAATTTCTTGACATGAACTTCACTTAATAGTGGAAAACAGAATAGTGGACTAGTAATAAGTGTGAACGTGTTACTGACAAAAATGTGGGTATTTTTTGGTTCATTGTTTCTATTGACTACAGGGACGTTTTCAGTTGAAGTACGTACTGCAAGATTTTAAGCACAAAAATGTAAAATCTTAAAAATTTTCTTAGCTATTTTATTTAAGCTAATCCGGCTGAAATATCATTTACGGAGAGACGACAATGAATTTTATACTAATCAATTGCCAAAATCGTTTCACTAATAACTCAATTTCGCTGATATTTGTATAAAAACATTTTTCGAAAATTTTCATTGTTTATTGGAATTTTTAACAAATTTCGATCTACTAAAAGGCCATCTTCAGGAGAAGAATTAATAACTAAGTTGCATGCATTTTATCCTAAATATTGAAATTTCGTATCCCCCATGGTTATAATGATTTATTGAACATTATGGGGGAATGGTGAATCTATTTCTCTGTTCACTATCCGAATGAACCAAATTATACCTTTTCTATCTCCTAACATAAATAAATTATATTATTAAGGGCGAAATATCATTTATGCGTCATGGAATTCCACCCGCCAGGGAGACTGATGAAACTAGAGCATCTTCACCGGAATGGGGTACAATTAGTCAAAGAGTTGACCATTTCAATCCGGCTGACAATAGAATGTGGGATATGGTAAATGTTATTCTAGATTAGTTTTAAATAGTGAAAAGTAATTAATTTCAACTGTTATATAAAATGTCAAAAGCAAACTATGAGTTTTTCAACAAACTCTATGTACCTACCTGATTGAAAAGACGATAATTTTCTCAAAATTATATTATTGAATAGGTAATGGAACAAATATTGCCTGTAAAATATGAAATATTAGAAATCTTTAGGTATACTAATTCTTACCCCTTATAAGTCACTGTGAGCTCGAAACTGTTAGCACGGTTGCTTCGAGTGGTCGAAATTTACTTTTGCGAACAATTTGTTTAATCACTTTCTTTATGTTAAAAATTGCCTGAAAAACGTTTTAATCCTAATTGTTTATATTCATGCGCTTTAATGCATTGACATCAGTGACAGCAATAGTTACAGAGTAAGACTTTGCCCTATGCTGGCAGCACTCTTAATTTTATTTAGATATATAAATTTAATATAAAATTTTATTCAGAGGTACATACAAAATAATGAGTTTTATGAAGAAGGTGGACCCATGTTCGTGTTTATAGGAGGTGAATGGGTTATTTCAAAAGGCTGGGCTACGTCGGGATTTTTTCTTGACATAGCTCGTTCACATAAAGATGCTTTTTTCTACACAGAACACAGATTTTATGGTGACAGTTATCCTATATAGTAAGTAATATTTTTTTTTGTTTAAGGAATTCTATCGCAAAGGGACGGGTTTTATATTCACATTAGGAAATTATATCAATTGAAAGTATTACCCTTTTCGTCATAATTTTTTTTGAAGTTATGTGGTAACGTTGATGGAGGGCATCTATAAGCCAAAGCTAATAGTAGTTAGAGATAGAATTACATAAAACAATCTATAACCGACTAGAAATAGTAAGCGTGAACTAGGGGACGAATAAGACTTTTTTTTAGAAAGGAGTTATTGGAGGTATTGAAGATCTCAAAATTTTAAATCTAGATGTTAAAGGTATTTCTTAACCTTATAAAATATCAAATGAGGTTTTAGAACTCTTCTTTCATTATGACATAGCCTAACTCATCTATCTCCACGCTATCTTCGTTCTCTAATATATCCCCTATCTCAGGGCCTGCTTGTAGGTTCTCTAAATATTCTTTTCACCTATCTGCCTTTTCTTCATTCTCTATCAAAATGACCCTTGTCTCGTTTCTTATATTATTACTACTGTATTCTTCATCTCTAAAATTCCTTTTAATTATATGTTAGGTACGCCTCATCGGTTTTACTTACTTCAAACTTTTCTTCTACTTCTATACACCTCCACTACCTCCTTAGCTACCCTACACTTCCTAATTATTTCCCACTTTATAGCCTTATATCTTTTTTGCCCTTCTTCGTCCATCCTGTTTTTGTATTTCCGCCTTTCTTCTATTATTATTCTTTCCTACTTTCGTTTCGTTTAAGACCTAGTATATTTAGCTGCTGACTTTTAGGAATGTTTTAATTCAGTTCCAGTTTGTCTCTATGTGCCTATCATTTCTTTCTCCCGCCGCCTTTACTATTTCGTCTGTCATTTTACCTAGCCTATCACGTGTTTCGTTACATGTTAGCTTTTCTAAGTCAAGACGTCTCGTACCTTTCAACTTTTTCAGAATTTTCAATTTAAGATTGGTCTTCATAACTACTACTAAGTAACTCTTCGTAACTACTACTACTACAAGTAGGGTCAAGCAAAAAAAATTGAAAGTAAGAAGACACAAGTTAGATGCTGACCTTTTAATCATTTGATATGTTAGATACTTCTGTTTATTTAATTCGAAAAGTGTTGCGTTGTGTTTGTTCAGATCACATCACATCGCATGCGTTTCAATATGCAACTTGCCTTACAGAATGCGTAGACTCCGATTCATGTTAATAAATGTAATAAAGGGACCAAAGAACGCACTTTCTTGCATCAGGCTGCGTCGAACCAATCACCAGGAAATAGATCGGCGCTTCATGTAATAGGGCCTTTAGATAAACATGATTCTATCTTGTAATTGCTCGTTTGACCGCAATAGACCTATTGTGATTTTTTTTCTAATTTTTCCGAAAACATGGATTTCTATTCCAAATATTGTGATTTAACGCTGAGAGATAAATATACAATTTTTTGTATGGTAATAGACAAAGGATCACACTAACTCGGTACGTTTTGGGTTTTCAATAATTTGGTCATTAAAGGCTTTTACAAGTGCTTAAAGTTAATGCTTCTAGTAGGACACGTATTTTCAATAGAAATTAAAAAATTACAAAATGGCCTTCAACAGGCTTTAGAACAAAGCTTTATCTATCTTACTATAAAATTTCAAACCTCTATTCCAAATATTAAACTCATGATATCTAGAACCGATAAGACAGTTTTTACTCTAACATCGCGTGTACTACTGAATCCCCTTAATATATCATTTATGACGCGTTTCGTTACACTCATATCATTCATAAATTAAAATAATAAGCAGATACATATGTCTCTCAGAATCATAAGGCTAAATAATTTTAAACTATAAACAATAATGTCTGTCTAAAAACAACAGAAAAATTAAACCAGTAGGGTGGTGAGAACTGCCGATAGAAAGCTCTAATTTTACTGAAGCTGAAATATAGTACAATTTATGAAACCAGAATTTTCTTATCTTTTATTTGACATTCCAATCATGCGATACCAAAAGAATTAAAAATTTACTCTATTTTTTAATTAAATGGCAAAAATAATATTTTGTGAGTATTGTCTGTATGATTTTTATTAGGTAGTAGTTGCTGGTTCATCATATGCAGGAAGTTTAGCGGCATGGGCAAGAATAAAATATCCTCACAAAATAGACATTGCTTACTCTTCTAGTGGTCCTTTACATACCAAAGCTGATTTCCCAGGTAATGTAAAAGCAACTTACAAATATTGGTATACCTATAATTAAAATTGTTCCCTAAATGCTAGTCGAAAAACTGAAAAGAAAAATATCCTCTATAATTTCTTCTCTATTTTGTATGCATACAGTGTTCGCTATTTGTTTAAATAATTTTGATAATAAGAAACTGTTGATTATGAAGATCTACATCCGTATTTCTGTAGGCTTTTTCATTGTTTGTCTAGGATTAAATAAAAACGAATCCAGTTCCACTATTTCGGAATGTGTTTAATGAATAAAATTTAATATTAAGAAGTATAATGGTTTGTACAATTAACGTTTCCACAGTATTGAACATTATCCTGATACACTTATTTATCCGACACTGATTTATAAANCGAAAAGTTGGAGGATCGCTATAATCAGTGTATCACCCTTGAAGGGAATTATGTTGAATAAAAAAAACGAATTTTGCAAAAAAAATGTGTTTTACTATTTTAGGCCGGGGACTTTTCAATTGACCTGTTAGTACGAGCTTTTGGATTGACTCTGACAATTTATTCGAATCCAGGGTAGCTCGTGGACTATTTCCGAGAATTTGAGTTAGTCTCTGGCATTTGTAACGACCGTAGCTGTCAATCAATTCCATGTGGACTATTTTCGAAGATCTTATTATTACTGTATGGCGCACGTAGCAACTGTCGAAGGTAAAGTATGATCTTTCCGATAATCAGATATTAATTCCGCTATCATACTCGCTCTCTAGTGATGAAGATTATCAGTACGTTTTTAATAATGCATTTAAAACATAACAAAACGATTTTAAACGAATATTGTCAAAAAGTTTGATATCTTCTGGCGGCTATCTCTCGATTTAGGTACGTAATTTGCTTTAGTCAAAACTAACGTTATATTAGTACAAATCTATCCTGAACGTTTGGTTAAATAATATTGGTGGGATCACGGCCATCCAGAGAGTCAAGTGTCACACTTCCATGATACATGTAATGCTACAGAAAAATAACATTTTCCAAGTTTACACAAAATTGGACGCATCGATTTTCAAAAATTTCATAACACCTAGTACATCATTGAGTCCAATGCGACATCCGCAGAATACGCGCTCCAAAAGTTATAAAATGACGAGAGAAGTCAGAGGAGAGAGAGAGCTTACTACCTAGCTACCTCTCCCCATCAGCGAGACTATGTAGCTACAAAACTATAGATCTCTTGCAGAGTCAAAACGGAAAAGCCATACATCACTATTACAATGGGGAATGGTCAAAAAGGGCGCTCGCTCAGCCAATACGATACAATTCGATTCAGAAGGAATGTAACATGATATTTGTAGCGTCGTACACAAAAATTACCTTGTTTATTCTCGGGAACTATCGGAGATCTGCGATATCTTTCGAATGCTTCTAGAACGTCTACAGCTACGACCTATGTTTTCTTCATCTAAAGGTCGGCTCGCCAAAGAGAAATGAATATGTGGGGCAAACAGACGTCTGTATTCTCGGGATGGTAACAGTATTATATCAGCAAGTTAATAACCAACGACGAAAGGCGGTACCACGTAAACGAGCAGGAGTGTTTGTCTGTCATCAGGGCAACTGAAACCTTACCGGCCATATTTAAAAGTTCAGCAATTCACTCTACGAACCGATAGTATGGGTCTTCTTCGGCTCAGAAAAGCAAAAGAAACTGAGTGAAACTACTAAAGCAGTTTTCCTCCACTGTCTTGGAAAGTAAAACGACCTGCTCGACTTATCGTCTAGAGAGCTGACCGGCAATGAACCATCCTCGGATGTCGGTAACAATTTCAACAACTTGGTACTACCGAAATTTAAATCGCAGCCGCCACCCATATATCAACAAACAACCAATGATCGCGTCACCTTTCCGCCATACAACATCACGACACAGTGATACAAGCTCTCATCGAGCGATGGAAGGACATAATCATCACCGAACCGGTCGAACTATGACAACATCTATACTTATGCACCTATGTCATCAAGATAATTATTTATACTCGCTATCCAAGAGTAAAGTTAAATGAGAAAAGAAGAGATAAAGTGATGTCCGCGAAACGCTCGTAAGATTGGGAAGAAGAGGTGATCCATCAGTTCGTGTAATTTACAATTCGCAGATGCTGTTGTTGTTGGGGTACAACCTGCTGCTATCTAGAACTTCAGTCCAATTAAGACCGCAACTACCAAGCGATCACGAGCAGCATCTAGAAGCCGCACGTTTAAAACAGCATATGCTGGGAAATCTATCGCTATCGGAACCTACGTTCTTAATGTTCAAACTGGGTATAAGAAGCACTTCGACTGCCTAGACCCACTTAGACAGCGTGGACTGCCTTCTTCAACCAAACCATTTGCCATCTTTTCCAACTATCGTCAAAGGAAGGGTTGCATGATACCGGATCATCACCTGATCCACGGAACTATCATTAGTTATCAATTCACCACTTTGTAAATATTTGCTTTTCTATGTTCTTTCAACTCAATCATCAATAATAAAAATCAAACTATGCGACATTCACAGAATGCGAGCACCAGGAATTATGGGTAACACGAGCATCCTATCTAGCTATCTAGCTACCCGTCTTCTCAAACGGCTGCAAAATTACCTTACTGTTAATTAGCTGAAAAGCTACGCAATCAACTAGCCACTAGTTGAAAAGTTATTATATCAAGTACCGCATCACAGTCCCCTGCACCGCTTGTTTTCTGCCGTCCAGGCCAGTAAATCCACCGCCCTGCGGAAGCTCCATCATCAGAACACTCGACGCTTTCATCAGTGGTTGTTTAGCTGGTGTGAATGAAACATACACAATCTTTTTCTGCCTTTTTAGCAACAATACACGACACCGAACAGCGTGGTTTAGCGATCATTAGTCAAGATCATAGCTTTGCATCCTGGAGAATACCGGTAAAATCCCAAACTGGCTGCTCTCGTCGAATTTTTCCTGTGACTTCTTTAAATCGTTGAGGCAAATACGCGGGCAGTAATATTCCACAGATATTATCACATCATCGTTCTGTCTTGCTTTCGTCTATCTCATTTGACTCTCCCAAAACTCCTTTCATGAATTCCAACGATACCTAAATAAGAGGTCTTTCCGCCTTGCATTAAAGTGTAAGTTGGAAGAATTACTTACCCCCAGTATTTAACTGGTGGAAATGAAAGCAAGAAAAGAAACGAATTTATTATTCCAACATGATCAATAACCGAATTCATTATTTATAAATTACCAATACAACTCAAGGTATTCAATTTCTCATGAATACCGATGATGATAAAAACCCAAAAGCTGAAGCTGAATACTTTCTCCACGGAAGAATTGTTGTTGTACTCTTAACAATGGGAATTTCCGAAACATATGTCGAAATTCTAAATTAATCGGTGAACATTATTTATAACGCAAATACAACCTTTGATTTGTTTTTTCTTCGACGAAAAGTCGGAAAAAATACTTATGTTATTTATTAAGCACCTAATCTACAATCAACAGCTTTCTTATCTGTGAGAGCAAATTAAAAAAATTGCAGTCACCAAAACATCACAATTTTTAGCCAACCAATCTTGGTTGTTGTTTGCAATCTGACGGAGCGAGTTTAATACTATAAAATATATTTAACAATGATTATAAAGATTGAAAAGATACTGATTTCTCATAAATTCCAACAAAAATACAATGTTCGAAACCTGAACACCCCCGGCCATAGTAATAAAACGCCAATGCCACTGCTTTTCTCAATAGGTGTTATTTTCGGGATAGAGCTTATATTAAAATAATCCTTTAAAACCATGGTGGTACTTATTTACCGGGTAGGTCGTGTTTTCGGGGAAGCAACAGAAGTTCGATGAGATGGAAGGAAGCCGAAACCTTAAGACCATCGTAGGCGGTTGTAAGCCACCTAAGTCAAACGACGAAAAGATATTTCGCGCAGTGGACTTCTCTTAACTTGGACTATTGAAAAGAATATGGGAAAGTCCAGATTGAACCAGAAACAAGCTCCAAGTGGTACTTCCGAAGAAAATAATATCGGAAGTCTTAGAAGCAGTTCACGGTGAAGCATATTTCGGCGTTACGAAGACTCTACGGTAGGTACGCGAGCGATTTTATTGGCCACGAAGTAGAAGCATTGTGGCAGGCTTCTGCAGGAAATGCCCTACATGCGCCTCTAGCAGGGGACCGTAGACAAGGAGTCTGGACGAACGCAGCAGTACAACATGGGAGCGCCATTTAAGAGAATCAACAGTTGTTTCGACCTACTTGGCTGCTTTCAAGAGTCTTAGTTATTTGTGTGTTGTTGTTGTTTTTTATTTATATTATTGTTGAAAAATTCTAGGACTAATTGTATTGTAAATAATTGTATGATGTTTACGTTAATTTCAATTTTCTTTTTGTTATGTTTAATGTTATTGAAGTGATCGTACGAATTTCCATAATTGCAACCGAAGCTAACAACCTTTTGTTCGCGATATTATTTTAAAACCGCAAACATCGACATTAAACAAATAGAATAAAATCTGTTGTCTACGCAATATTCGTAGTGAGTAAAATTAGAACAGTTAAATATGAGTATTTAATTATCGTAGGCTAAGAAGTCAAATAGAATGACTGTAGTTTTGCTCAAAATGTTAAAAGGTATCTCGAATTTGGTGTTGTTTTTAAATTATTTATTTATTTATAAACATCTATTTCATCCCCTTCAAAGTAATCCCCACCAGATACTATACAATTGTGCCAACGTTTATTTCAATCTTCGAAGCAGTTCAAAAAATCATTTTTTGTGATCTTGTCCGGCTCCTCCTTCGATGGCGTCTTCATCTCCTCAATCGTAGCGTAGCGTCGTCCTTTCATGGTCCTCTTCAAAAAAAGGTCACAGGCGGCCAGATCTGGCGAATATGGTGGCTGCTGCATTGTTAGTCTGAATGCTTTTGACCAAAAATTCGCACACAAGCAACAAGGTGTGATCAGGGGCGTTATCATGGTGCAAACGCCAA